ATGTCACCTGGTTATGACAGGGTAAGTCATCAATATGTCAACTTATTATTTCAAGGTAAATCATTTATATATCACCTTGTTATTTCATGGTAAGTCACCAATATGTCACCTGGTCATGTCAAGGTGAGTCATCAATATATCACCTGGTTATATCTGGGTAAGTCATCGATATGTCACCTGGTTATGTCAGGGTAAGTCATCAATATGTCGCCTGGCTATGTCAGTGTAAGTCAACAATATGTCACCTGGTTATGTCAGGGTAAGTCATCAATATGTCGCCTGGCTATGTCAGGGTAAGTCACCAATGTCACCTGGCTATGTCAGGGTAAGTCATCAATTTGTCAACTGGTTATGTCATGGGTAAGTCATCAATATATCACCTGGTTATGTCATGGGTAAGTGATCAATATGTCAACTGGTTATGTCATGGGTAAGTCATCAATATGTCACCTGGATATATAAGGGTAAGTCATCTTTATCACCTGGTTATGTCAAGGTGAATCATCAATATATATATAACCTAGTTATGTCAGGGAAAGTCATCAATATGTCACCTGGTTATGTCAAGATAAATCATCTATATATCACCTGGTTATGTCAGGGAAAGTCATCAATATGTCACCTGGTTATATCAAGATAAATCATCTATATATCACTTGGTTATACCAGGGTAAGTCACCAATATGTCACCTGGTTATTGAAGGGAAAGTCATCAATATGTCAAGATAAATCATCTATATACCACCTGGTTATGTCAGGGAAAGTCATCAATATATCACGTAGTTATGTCAGGGTAAGTCACCAATATGTCACCTGGTTATGTCAGGGTAAGTCATCAATATGTCACCTGGTTATTGAAGGGAAAGTCATCAATATGTCACCTGGTTATATCAAGATAAATCATCTATATATCACCTGGTTATGTCAGGGAAAGTCATCAATATATCACCTGGTTATGTCAGGGTAAGTCACCAATATGTCACCTGGTTGTTGAACAGAAAGTCATCAATATGTCACCTGGTTATTGAAGGGAAAGTCATCAATATGTCACCCGGTTATGGCAAGGTAAATCATCTATATATCACCTGGTTATGTCAGGGTAAGTCATCAATATGTCACCTGGTTATCGAAGGGAAAGTCATCAATATGTCACCTGGTTATGTCAAGGTAAATCATCTATATATCACCTGGTTATGTCAGGGTATGTCATCAATATGTCACCTGGTTATGTCAGGGAAAGTCATCAATATGACACCTGGTCATGTCAAGGAAAGTCCTCAATATGTCACCTGGTTAAATCAGGATAGGTCACCAATATGTCCCCTGGTTATGTCAGAGAAAGTCATCAATATATCACCTGGTTATGTCAGGGTAAGTCATCAATATGACACCTGGTCATGTCAAGGAAAGTCATCAATATGTCACCTGGTTAAATCAGGATAGGTCACCAATATGTCACCTGGTTATGTCAGAGAAAGTCATCAATATATCACCTGGCTGTGTCGGGGTAAGTCACCAATATGTCACCTGGTTATTAAAGGGAAAGTCATCAATATGTCACCTGGTTATGTCAAGGTAAATCATCAATATATCACCTGGTTATGTCAGGGTAAGTCATCAATATGTCACCTGGTCATGTCAAGGAAAGTCATCAATATGTCACCTGGTTAAATCAGGATAGGTCACCAATATGTCACCTGGTTATGTCAGGGAAAGTCATCAGAGAGTCACCTGGTTATGTCAGGAAAAGTCATCAATATGTGACCTGGTTATGTCAGGGCAAGTCACCAATATGTCACCTCGTTGTGTCAGGTCAAGTCACCAATATGTCAAAGTAAGTCACCAATATGTCACCTGGTTATGTCAGGGAAAGTCATCAATATGTCACCTGGTTATGTCAGGGTAAGTCATCAATATGTCAACTTGTTATGTCAAGGTAAATCATTTATATCACCAGATTATGTCAGGGAAAGTCATCAATACGTCACCTGGTTATGTCAGGGAAAGTCATCAATGAGTCACCTGGTTATGTCAGGGTAAGTCATTAGGATAAAGTTTGAGGAATACATGGGATTCGACAAATCCAAGGTTCATCCGACATCGTCATGTTTTGATTAGGTGGGATGACAAACAGTTTGAGCACTATAAAATTTCAGTCAGTAGATGATAGAAGCAAAAAAGAAGTTTAATAAAGATGAAAATATTCAATAAAATATGAAATTTCTCCACAATGAACTCATCATAGCTATCGGTACTTTAAGAAAGAAAGAAAAAGGAGCTGTTATATATGTAAACATACTTGTGGTTTAGACATAGTCTGCCATACTGTATTTGGCTATGTTAATTTTACAAAATATCAAAATGAGAGGAACTCTTTGATAATTTTAAAATGAAGAAAATCTTGAATCCCTTTTATTATAATACTGATTGATAACCAAGTTAACAATAATGACATATCAAAGCTTGAAAATCTTTTAAGATGGTCGAGATTCCGCTTTGTGATTTCTGCTAAATATTGCCATGCCAAAATATGGTTTTACACAACCAGTGAATCAACACTTCCACCAAAATATTTTGTCAAACATCGTCGGGAAATAATAAATATGCACACTAAATGATAATGCAGCTGCAACAGGGTACAGTGCTGCCGTTAATCCTCTTATTATCTGATGTCCAGCCGACACCTGTATAAGAACAATGAACATGGAATGCAGTCTGTGCCTCAAGGCATGTAGATGGCACCCGGTAGATGTGCTACACAGGTCCGACTACCTCTTTGACGAATGGAAAGGTCAAACACTAAGGTTTTGAGTGGTCGGGAATAAATCAGAGTTCCAGGAAAATAGAATATTTGAGCAATGGCAGTTCAAGTAATTTGAGGTCAATTTACAAAGAATATACTGTTATATAAACACAGTACTGGTATATAAACCCAGTCTGGACCAAGCCAACTATTCTAGGATCAAGGAGTATTCCAGAACTATGGACTTCATCCGGTAGATAAGAGAGAACTACAGACTTAATCAGGTAGATGATAGAGAAATATACAGACTTCATCCGGTAGTTGAGAGAGAACTACAGACTTCATCAGGTAGATGACAGGGAACTACAGACTTCATCCGGTAGATGACAGGGAACTACAGACTTCATCCGGTAGATGACAGGGAACTACAGACTTCATCCGGTAGATGACAGGGAACTACAGACTTCATCCGGTAGATGACAGGGAACTACAGACTTCATCCGGTAGATGACAGGGAACTACAGACTTCATCCGGTAGATGACAGGGAACTACAGACTTCATCCGGTAGATGACAGGGAACTACAGACTTCATCCGGTAGATGACAGGGAACTACAGACTTCATCCGGTAGATGAGAGAGAACTACAGACTTCATCAGGTAGATGAGAGGGAACTACAGACTTTTATCATCTTACCAATTGCCCCTCGTTCACAACCATTTTGAAATACATCATATACAAAATACATTGTCAGTAATACCAATATCAAAAACGAATTGCTGAAAACCTCTGACCATGAGAAATTTGGATTGTTTTCAAAAAGGGCATCTAAGTTTCTCAAAAATAAAAAGGTACCCACCGTAATAGGTGTGTTTGATAACTATATGTGTATGTTGTTTTTCATTGAGACTTGAAGTTGATAAATCATTATGTTCAGTTTCATGAGTGGATATGAAAATGTTGTTTTTCAACAAAGCATTGTAAAACTATGAATTAAGTCTTCAATTATTAACAGTTAGATACAACTGAATCAAATTCAGAATAATTCTGTCAACACTGAGTGTTATAGATAAGTTAAGTGTACACAATGGAAGACCCAGGAGGGAGTTTGATAATTATGGATCTTGATTGGATATGTCAACATAATGTACTGGTATGTACAATGTAAGAAATACATATCTTTTGTCATTCTGATCAGAGTAAATGCATACTTACCAATTTGTTCAGAATTAACAACACAAATAAAAAGTCTTTATGTACATCTGAGAATAGGAATACTTTTGCAAATTCACTGGTTGAGAAAGTTCAATTTTAGGGTCCAAAATCGGGAGTCTCCTTCCTAGATAGGGAGGGTTGGCAGGTATGTGTGTATTCTTTCATCTAATCTTATTAAAATGGAATGATGTTATATCATTAAAATATATGAGCAGATGTAAAATTGTGATGATAAACATAACACGACATATACATCTAGGGTTTTAACCAACGCCTAGTGAAAATAAAACATCATAATTGATGGTAAACTAGTTCCCTCAAGAATACGCCACTGACCTTAGCTATACATGCTCTTTGAATTTCCTTAACTAATGTATTTCCCCTCAAATATATAATTAAAGGGATGGTACTTCCAAAACCATCAATTTAGTTTTGTGGAGTGACTTATTACCAAAGGATCAGTTGACCACATTTCAAATGAGGAGTAGAGACCACATGCAGATTTAATATGATTTATTATATATATAATTTGTAAGGGCTTGATACCTTACTTAATTATCTAATGATTAATTTGTTATATTGATGGGATGGCTTCACTGCCTATGTTTCGTTTAATTGGGTGTAAATGACGCGGGTTTTCAGTTGTGTTACTCTTGTGTATTGAGTTGTTGTGTATTGGCTATGTACGTCAATTACTGCAGGATGTAGTGCGGTGTAACTCGACAATTAAACATATTCTCTGAATTCTGTCAGCTAGCAATAACATTAGAATTTTCGCGTGAATGAAATTCAAATAATTTCTGTTACACAGAAAATCATAAATGTCTCAAAAACCGTTTAAAACATCATGCCGGTCAAAGTGAAAGTTGATCGTATTTCCACTTCCGGTACACATTTCGTCTGCATACATTTGTGCATCTTTTTTTGTCTCCTCGAAAAATAATAATGCAGGGGTTTTGTAGGATGCTTTTACATGAATCCACTGGTCTACTTAATAAATACAAGTTAAGTTCATCCGATATAAAATTATGACCTTCTCTCACCTTCACATCAAGAACAAAATATCGAAGTGAATCACTCTTGCTTATCTCGCTTGTCAGTGATGGCTTCCGCATTACCCACAATGCTTTACCCGCCAAACTTGTTAATTGAAGCATGCGCACCTCATTCCAATTAATTTTTGAATAATTAATTAGCACAATAAAAATATCCACTTTTCATTTTGCGTTATTTTTAGTCATTCTTTTCCATTGCATCTGAGGGATGAAGAAGGGAGCCGTGACCAATCGAATTTAGCTTTAACTGGCAATACGCTTTTGAGGTGAGAAAGTTGAAATGACTTTTTTCCGATAGAGTAGCACGCGCAGAGCGAGATGTAGCGGGTATTTGGGGCCAAGTTCAACTAGGCCACACTGTCTATATCGCTGCTTTACCAGCAACTAATTATCAGTTTGTAATTAGTCGCCATTGGTAGATTGAAGCCTGGCTGGCACGATGTCTGAGTGGTCGGCAGTGGGCTAGCAAAACAACAGCTGACATATCTCCATCTCTCATATCGGCGCTACTTTTTGTTTCCTAAAATAATGCCGAGAGATGCGCTGTGATGACTTTTGACCTCAATTTGAGTTGCACAATGTAGTCTCTTTTGGGACCCCGTTTCTTCAGGTATGTATTTATGAAATTATGACATCGTTGTTTAAAAAGAAAGGAGTGCTCTGATTGCAATTAATTTATCGAGATTATATTTATTGTATTTTCCATTGTTTATGTATTTTTGATAGACAGCTGATAACGCACGTGTACATGCGCGATGTTGTTTAGTGTTGAATGTGAGCATGTTACCTGTCACTAGTATATTTCAAGTGTACTACGTGAAAGCACTGATACATGTCACGGGTGTAGATTATCGATTTAGTTTCAAGGTTCAGTGAACGGGTCTATCAGATATGCAGCAGTGCACAATAACACGGATGATGGCTTTTGATCTACAGATACGCACGTGCGCATGCATTTGAAAGAAAAAATGCATGTGCTTGTGGAGGTTATCAAGATCATCTGTAAAGCTGTGAATAGGCTCGTACACCACTTGTGGCATTACACCTAGAGGTGTGAAATTTCACATGTGCCAGTCGTCTGTGAAAAGTGTAATTTTATACAGTGCTTAGCTATTTCACTAGGCCTACGGTGCAATGTACTTATAATGCATTAGGTAAGTCTATAATTGGTCCCAGATCGTAAAGAGCACTTGATCCAGTTATATATTTCATGATTTTTGATGGATGTAGTAAAATGTGCATGAAACAATTTTATTTTATCTAAAAAAATATTAATTTTGAAGCCCGTGTGTGTATATATATTTTGGTATCCTGTAATAATACTCATTTGAGATTTGTCATTTCTGTTTTGAGAAATGGCTGTAATACCATGCAAAAATATCAAAATTGGTTTTTAAAAAAATTGATGCATCATCAAATTTGAAAATAAAACACAAAATAAAGAAAAAAAATAGAACAAGTGCATACACCAATGGATCTTGTGAAATAAGAGAAAAAACTGGCCTCTATGCTAGTTGAAATTCATGTCACAATAGTGGACAGGAAAGAAATCTGGGAAAGGAGATTATCAATCAAATATAAGGCAATTTCAAAATTAAAATATGAAGATTTTTTTTTAGAAAAAATGAAGCTATAATTCATGAGGAACTACCTTATAAACTGTAATTTAAAACTGTTCAATCAGAAAAAGAATACATAAGTAAACTAATAAAGGTTTGCCACTGAGTAATATTGTCTAAATTTCATTAGTGTATTTCTGATTTTTTCAAATAAATCAGATTTTAAAAGCTTCTGAAGAAATTTACAATTAACTTATGTGTTTCAGATTAAAATGGTTTTTATGACTTATTTTTACAAGATTTGGGACCTCTTTCATCAAGAACATTCTAATTTCACGAGCATATTAAGATCAGTTTGACAGAACGGTTTAAAGGTTTAAAGTTTAAACGAGATAAAAATGATGAAAAAAACCCCCTAAATGTTAGCAACTCAATATCAAATAATAACTAGACTAAAAATAGAGTATTTCGGTTTTTATTTATAAAACCGATACAACACACAATAACATTTGGAACATTACAGCAGACCTTTTTGACATGACAGGAAATTGACAGATATTTTCATAACAAAAATAAAATAAAATTTCCTATTAGTTTTAAATTATAATTCACACAAAAATCAAGAAATTATTTTTTGTCCGAATAAACCTAATAACTATGTTCAAATTCCTCTCAAACTACACCTGCCAGCTCTACTACAAACAATTAGTAATTATTACAAAAATGTTATCGGCCAATTAAAGGTATAATTAAATGATGATCTTAACAATCATAGTTAAGGTAAAGATTACCACTGCATCAGTTATTATCCTGAAGAAGAGTTCCAGTGCATTTTTTTTACTATGTGTAGTCTCCCTTCTACATACATGTTCAGTAGACGATGAAGCAGCCAAAGTGTTTTCTAGCTTACTTACTTCCCATGTCAAATTTTTCATTGGCTTCCACTTTAGCGCCATCCTTTTTTTTTAATGCTTGGTAATCACAATTCCTGGGTGGTAAAGTTGGTACAGCGTAGGCTATAAATGGAAAGGTCCCAGTTTGACACATGAACTGCTTTAAATTGTGATTAGTATACTGGGATGAAGGGCTATCAAGTTTGTTCAAACACATAAGCTTACCAACTTTCAGATTCATAGGGGTCAATTGGGTCAAAACCTTTAGACTGATTAATCTGAATAACCAGGAGTCACATTCAAGTACATTGAATCACATTCAATGTCACAGATGTCAAAAGTGTTAAACCCATTCAACCACTTTTATGAATTACCAGAGGCCAAGAGAGAGGACATTTGGCTTGTGGTATGTTAAGATGAAGAGTATCAAATTTGTTCAGATGAACGACCATGACCCACTTTCAAGGTCAGGGAGATCAAATGTGATAAAACAATTAAACAACTTCTTCTAATTAATCAAGAGGCTTAGGGTAATGATTTGTGACCAGTAACACTATCAAATATTTTCAAATGAATGACAATGACCCTCTTTTCAGGTCAAAGGGGGCATCCTTTTAAATGACTTCTGAATGAAAAGGAGGATAGCTTAAAATTATGATACTTGGCATGTGGGTGAGTGGTTTAAATTTATGTGATGTGTTGGGTCTGAATAGTTAAACAAGACCAAATTAACTTTGAAAGTGAGATCAGGAAAATTTCAAATAAATTTGACCTTAATTATCTTTGAAGGACGTCACAGACATGAAATGTATTACAGCTGAGCAATACAGGCCCATTGGACTCCTTGTATAAGTTCATGTGTTGAGATCCAATGTCAACTTGAGTCAGGATAGGGTCAAAGGTCAATATGGTCTATTAAGAGTGAAAAACTTTAAGGAATCTTCTTCTTAAGTTCTAGAAGACCCAGGGTTGTGATATTTGGACAGTAGGTTTTCGGGATGGAATACTAGGAAGTTTTCTCATTTAAATGACTTTGAACTACTTTAAGGTTTTCCTCTTTAGTAGATTTGCTAACCTTGCTATTCAAGTTGCTTGATCAAAAGAAAAATATCTTTTGAAAAGGTCAAACAATATGCTAACTCTGAATGAAGTTTTTAATAAAAACTAACCACTAGATGCATTACTGTTGACAAGACTATAAATGTATATTCCCTAGGACTACTTATTATAATATTATAAATCACATGGCAAGCACAGCTTATAATATTAATAAATATGAACTTTATTGATTTTACAACTTTTCTAAAAAAGTTATTCGAACTTATATAAATCACTCTTGTTTGCCTGGATGTAAGACAGTTGGGGGTCTTATCAGTAATATGGAAGGAAACCAGGGTAGACAGTTGGGGGGTCTTACCGGTAATATGGAAGGAAACCAGGGTAGACAGTTGGGGGTCTTACCGGTAATATGGAAGGAAACCAGGGTAGAAAGTTGGGGGTCTTACCGGTAAAATGGAAGGAAACCAAGGTAGACAGTTGGGGGGTCTTACCGGTAATATGGAAGGAAACCAGGGTAGACAGTTGGGGGTCTTACCGGTAATATGGAAGGAAACCAGGGTATTTGGTGAAAGGCGAGTGCAATATCCACTGCGCTACCCGACCATCCATATTATAATATTAATGAATGGTAGAGTGGGGGAATGTGATCCCTACATTATTTTCATTTTATTAAAGATCAAAAGAAATTCCATGACTGAGGTGAGATCTATACAAAGAGGTGATTGACACTATATATTGCCATTTGTTACTTACAGCATATAAGTATAGATAAAGTTGATATAAAGGGAAGTACTGGATGGATGATGTGATTACACTCTACTGACTGTTATACATTAAACAAATTACATCTGACTGGTCATGGTAGTGGTCAATCATTGGTAGATCATAAAGGAAGTGATTATAGACATAAGGACCCAGGTTAATTGGAACACCTGTACACAACACCTGTTTTTTGTCTCACCTTGGTCAACTACTGGTAATAATTATGATAGATCATAATTATGTACCTGGTCATGTGGTTAATAACATAAACAATAAACACAGTGCTTTAATTATTGTTGTGTATTGTCAATCTTCACACCATCCTGTACATCAAATAATTTATCATATGTTTATATGTAATTTTGATGCACCACTCCAAAAAAATATGAATGCATAGTCATATTGTATAATAACACAAATATGTATATAAATGTATACAACTTTTCACCCAAAAATGGGCAAATGGTGGATTGCTAATATCAAAATCTGAATTTCTGTAAATAAAAAGAATGTCATGGAATGAAAACACCTAGCTGTGTCCTATTTCTTCCTACATCTCGTGTAATATCAATTATGATGTCTGTGATGCTAAGGTAACAACATTGTATGAAGTATATTTGATCGTGCGTAAACGTTTTGTTAGGTCACCTTCTGTACATTGTCATGCCTTGTCTTTAAACAATCATGTTTTCAATTTCTCAGAAACTGTCTGCCAGATTTTGATGATACTTGGCAGTAATCAAAACCTTCAAATGACATCTCTTGAAGTCGCTAGATCGATAGACCTAGTCCAAAATTGTTGTTTAAAATAATACCAATAACTAGATGATAAGGATCAGAATCTAGACTAAAGATGGGACTGATCCTCAAGGCAGATAAGGGGTGGGACCCTAAATGGTTAGAGTGCAAAATTTTAGAAAATCATCTCCTCTGAATTTTCCCCAACATTTCAAAAAATCATCAATAGATTGTAAGGATCACAATTTCTTCTCTTCAAGAAGGGACTATCCCTATTGGGGCTGAAAAGGGGTCACTTAGTACAAAACCTTTGAATGACTTCTCTAAGTTTCTGGTAGAGTTAAACTTTTTCATTTAAACATTCTTAGCTCACTATGCACCAGATTTGGGGACCTTTGACATACTAAACTTTCACTTGCATGAAGTATTGATGGTTACTGTACAATAATCACGGCAATGGTATAACGATTTGGTATTTTACAATAACTGATAGAGTGTGATGATCATGTTATTCCTGAAACAATGGATCTATTTAAGGATCCATGGCCCACTGCAGACTAAACATTAGATAGTTCCACTGTAAGTTAACATATATACAT